GGTTGCTGCCGTGTGTGTGTGTGTGTGTGTGTGTGTGTGTGTGTGTGTGTGTGTGTGTGTGTGTGTGTGTGTCTGTGTGACATTTTTAGCAGATTAAGTAACCATGAAACTGATGTGTGGTTTCTGTGGGAGATAGGGACTGGCCCAGGTTCTCTGGGTTACAGCTTTTCTTTTAAGTAAAAGTGAGATCCTTGTTTTCTTCTCTCAGATACCCTGGCCCACAGGTTTAAGAGGCTCCCTCTATAGCCTCTTAAACCACCCCAGCACCCCAGCTCCCAGTTTTTTTATGAGTCATCCCATTTCCACCTTGGCAAACACTAATTTTAGAAATTATTTTAACCTTAAATTTGCTTTGACTGTGACGTTGTAATTAGCGGTTGCAAAAAAACCCAGCCACCTATACCTACCTGATCCTCCCCCCCCAATCCTCCCTGCTCCCCCGACTCCCACCCCCTACCTCCATCCCCTACCCCTATCCTGACCCCCCTACCTATAGTCCCTGGAAACTAAGGCATTGCTTCCATGTGTTTCCAAATTCTGAGATGATCGGCTTCCTGGCTGTGGTTGCTGAGGGGAGTAGAATTCCGGGGTTTAAATTAGCAGCGGGTGAAATTCTATTTGTCATCAATTTCTCTTTGGGGTTACAGAGCAGAAAACTGCGGCAGAGCTCCTGCTCTGATGGCTCACTCCTAAAAATCTCTTTTTGTTCTTTATCTATGTGAACTGACAGTGATCAGAGCTGGAGCAGAACAAGGCTCTCTGGAGAAATCACCTTCCCCCTGCCTATTGACAGGTCCCTCTGTTCTGCATCAGACGGGCTTTGTCCCATCCCAGGCATCCAGGCCTTGGAAGGGGCCACCAATTAAACCTCTTGAGCAGTCAAATCTGAAGCCACTTTGGAGTGTCGGTTCTGATTAGTCAGGATGAGAGGAAGCCCATCACCCCGAAGGGCCCCCCGCTCCCTGGTCTCAATTTTCTCTCTTGCCTCCGCCAGGTGTGAGCGGTGTGAAAGAAGCTTCACACAGGCCACGCAGCTGAGTCGACACCAGCGAATGCCCAACGAGTGCAAGCCAATAACCGAGAGCCCGGAATCAATCGAAGTGGATTAACTGATTGACTGGCTGGAATTAAACTGCAAGGAAAGTCATGATTAAATGTCACGGACACTTAAGCAAAACCAAAGATTTCCTCGGAGCAACTTTCAATCAGTCCCAGAAAACCAAAAGCAGTAATAAAATAAGTAAGATGTTAAGAGATATTGATCCTGGCATGGAAGTCAGACCAGGAAAGAGATTATTTATTTATGACTAGGGATGAGACTGATTTCCGTGGACAACTCACCTGGGATGGCTAGCATTTCCAGTCCAACCATGAGTTTGCTTTATTTCTAAAAAAGCTTTTTTTAAATAAATAAAAAAAAAAAACTGTTATTTAATACCAAAGGGAGGATTCCTCTGCCCACAGTTGTGAGAAAGAACGCACAGGGACTTGGTTCTCATTGCACCTTTTTTTTTTTCTTTCTTTTTTTTTTGGTAGTAGCATGTTTCAAGGGGACCCATTGTACGGCCTTCCTCCTTCTGTCAAGGCCTGGCCCACCCGGTGTGGGTGACCCCAGCGAGGATGGCTGAGGCAGAAGTGAGAACCTGGCTGGCTAGCCCGGCGCCACCTGCAGCCTCCTCGGAGGCGGCCCGTGTCTGTAGTTTTCATGTTTCATGCACTTTCTTGTGGCTCCTTTCCACCCGCCAGCCTGGAACTGATGCTGGAGAAAGGAAGAAAAACGGCTTCAGATGGCCAAGTCGAAGGACGAACGTGGAGGGCTTGCTTTGTCCTGTCCGGATGTCAGAAACCTTTGCCGTGTACGGCGCTTCACAGTACAATATATCGTCCTGAAGCAGCTAGTGGAGGAAATGTTGTTTCCGGTAACGTTTTTTAGCTTAAGAAAAATGAAAACAGAAATAAAGTTCTTTGGTCTGAGGCTGAACCGAAGGTGTTAGTCTTCAAGTGATTTTTGTTGTCATTGTTTCTGGGCAGGAGTTGGGTGGATCAGCCATTGTGCTCAGCCTCACTGACAGGGACAGATTCAGTTTGGAACACAGGGAGGCCCTGGAGGCTCCTCCACTCCCTGCTGAGTGTGGCAAAATCACTGCCACTGAAATAGGAAGGAAAAGCAGCCAGACAGGCAAACATCTGGGAGACGGTAGCATAGTAAGGCCGCCAGGAATTGCTGCTGTTATCAATAGGGATTACTTTTTCCTCTCTCCTGATCGATTCATCAAAAGAAAAAGAATCGTGTACACACTCGCGCTGTGCTCTGAGTGCTTGGAATAGTGTCACTTTCCATGGCCTTGTGGTGGCTCAGTGATGGTGCTCAACATAATTGGATCAAGGTCTATGCACCCACCTGGCGTTGGGAAAATATGCTAGTGTGTGTGGCTTCTGGTCCATTAGCTCCCAGTGGAAACCCAGAGCCTGAGTGTACCCTGCAGCCCATTTTCATAAGCAGCCCGAGGGAATGCGTCATAGTAATTCTGTGGCAGGTTTCTGGTGTCTAAGCACAGTCTTTGAAGGAGCGCCTCATTTTCCAAGCTTGCTCATTGTCCTCTGGAAAACGTGTTCGGGGTGCACACACACACACACATACACACACACACACACACACACACACACACACACACACACTCACGACATGGAGTAACTTCAGAAAGTTTCTCTACAAGAGCAACTGGTGACCTTTTCTGCTGAGCTGTCTCTCTGGCCCGCTTTCTCCTCTCTTCAAGTTCACTCTTTCTCTATCCCTTACCACTCAGCTGCTTCATCTAGAGGGGAATAAGATAGAATAGCATAAGGTAAGTGTATTGTGTTTCTAGTTATGATAATGGCTTGGATTGTGGCCACAAAGATAAACTTGGTTTTTTCTGGCCTTGGCTTCCCAGCTCAAGTCACTCACCCAGAATCTTCTCCCAGTTTTTGTTGTATCCTTGTCATGGAGGTCAGATGTTCTCTCTGGTATGTGGGAGTGCCTTCTGCTTTACACAGTTCCCTCCTGTAAGGCGGGGAGGCATCTGCCAATGTGTATCCCTGGGAAAGGTAAACAGACTGCGCATCCATATAGACCTAAGACCTTTGAGAAACTGACAGGTCTGCCCCATAAAGGAGCAAATGTTCATGCATCCAAGTTGAAATATCTGACTGAGCTTTCTGAATATAATGATGAACTCATTTGTAGGTTCCTTACTTTTTTTTTCCCAGTGAGAAAAATCAGCTTGATGATTTGCCTCCTTTCCCAGTTGAATACCAGGCAATACACCAGCTTTTGATGAGCGCTCTTCCCTTCATGTGTGGCATGGGGCACCTTCCAGAACAATGCTCTCTGCTGCTGCTCTGATGGCCTTGCCAGCTGATCCCCAGCTCCCACTGCATGTGGCAGCGAGCCATACCAAAACTCCCTTCTAGGGTTCTTCAGTGACTCCATTATCACTTTTGTTATTATGGATTTGTTTCGTGTATCTTCACCTGAATTTGGTCAGAAAATATCTTCTGCTTAAAAAAAATAGAAAATTGGATAGTCTAAATTTCCAGGCGCTTTGATACCCACAATTCTCATGTTGTGGAGCCATTTCCAGCTTCCTACAGGGCAGCCTGAGCCACTGGTCTAGCTAGGGACAGGCCTGCTCCTGCACGCCGACTTGGCACCCAAAGCAAGTCCTGCAGTCATGTGGACTTGACAAATGCTTCTCATCAATGTGTGTGCAGGGGAAGGTATTCCTTGAAACCTCTCAACAGAGATACTTCAGGAATTTTTAACATTTAAAGTATGCAAGCAATCCTTTGGGACATGGTGAATGGTTGATGGACACTATAATCCTTACTAGTAATGTTATGAGTAAAGATTCTCTCTAAGATGAAAAGGTGGATGATCAGAACTGAATCATGTCTTCAGTATTCTCTGTTAAGGGAGACAGATGAAGTTCCTCTCACCATAAGGCTTTTTAGGCCAGCATGATGGTGCCGTGGGTAAAGGCACTTGCTGGAACCCATATGGTGAAAACTGACTCCAAGCTGTGCACTGACCTCCACACATACACCACGGTGTGCATGCATGCACACTTACAATTATAAATACATATATTTTTTAAAAGACTTACCATTCTACCATATGCTCATGCATTTAGCTAAGTGTCTGGTCCAAAGGGTGAAGCCTATGAAAGTCGCAGAGCAGAAAGGAAAAGGGTAGGAACGCAGACCGTCACATTTCTGTAAGAAAAACTCAGTAAACGACGGAAAGCTAAGTATTTTCCTTAGGAAATATGTATTGATGTTTTTTTCATTCTTCATTTTGTTTTGTCCTTGTCTTTAAAAATATTAACTTTTTTCCAGGGGAGACATGTTTCACAACATGATTGTATAATTAAAGTTATAGAGCTTAATCCTGCATAATTTATATGATTTAGTTCATTAGTAACTTTTTATTACATTTCCATTAAATATATTTTTGTTGGAAACTTGCACACAGCAGAAAAAGATGATGATGTCTCTCCTCTATCTTCCCAGGGATCACATTATGTTTAGTCTTGACCTCAGAAGATATCATTCATTTACCAATTCATTAGCTTTCTCCTGGGTTGATTGGTTCAGTGTTAAATTCACACATTCAGCACATAATGAACTCTTGTGGCAAGACTTCATTGTAGGTGTTCACTATAAGCAAAATTAACTGTTGATGAGAAAATAATATTTTCCTCCTAAGTGACTGACTAGAGTAGATATTCACCCATGGCTTGAAAATAACAATGGTTTCAGTATTTTAATCTTGCTGTCAAATTTCTTATGCATTAAAATTGGAAGATGTTCAGTGACTCCATATTTGGATTTCCAACGCTCTGGTGTATCACTGCAAAACTGATTACCATGACTGGTTAGTATGGCTAATATTCTATTTGTTTTTCATAAAATAGCATCATTGCTTGCTTTACATTATTGCACAAATGTAAAGTTAATCAAGTGTAAGTAGCTGTGATTGCGTAACTGGGAACACGACACATCTCACAGTGTGGGGCAGTTCCAGAGTGGTGTGGGTCCAGGGGCCACTCTGTCCATCCAGCAGCCTTGTGTTTAGTAACAGATTCTTTGCTGTCCATTAGGGTTACACAGGCCCGCAGAAACCAGGCCAGGAATAACAAATAAACTCTTTGATGTGTATTTAATTTGATTTTCCACAGTCATCTCTAGTCCCTGACATCAAATCCTCAAGAATTCTAAGAGATCTGCATCTGTAAGTGATAGCAGTAGGTTCTAGAAATGCCACTGCTGTGCCAGGACCTTTGTGTTTGTTTGTTGGGGTGATACAGGGGTTTGAACTCAGGGCCTTACATAGGCTGGACAAGTACTCTACCACTGAGCCATAGCCCTGGCCCATAAAGGGCTTTTTTTCTTTAAAGTAGAGAGTCAGATGGTTCATTGGATTAATTTACAAAATGGCAAAAAAAAAAATAGGTTAGAAAATAGAGCAAAGATGTGAAACTATTGCACTGTCTTCCCCAAGTGATAAAGCAACTACCCTGGTACTTAGGAAAGAGACTCCTGAGTGTGGGTTCATGGGAAAATAAAGCTGTTCTGAACTGCTTCCCTCAGACATTGAGGAAGATGATGATGATGATGACGACGACGACGATGGTCATGGCTCACATTGTATAACCATACCAGGCACTGTTCTGAGGGCTTAGCATGGACTGTACAAGGTTATCCTCACTCTCTGACAAAAATGTTCACCATCCTTTTCTTGTACATACTTAACAATATTATCTCAGCAGCTTCACCAGCCTCCACTCCAAAACCCATGTGATTTTTTAAGAGGGAAGGGGGCTTCCATGGGCAAAGCTTCTTTTGAGAACAAGAACTGTTTAAAGTTAACAAATATAAATATTGTTTGTTGATAAAATGTGTTTTTGAGAACAATGCTAAAATATTCTTCAAATACGAATCTTTGCAGTGGGTGATTTTTTTTTTTTTTTGAGTCAATAGTTGTTCTCTCTGCACTTACTTTTTTTTTTCCAACATATTTTTTTTAATTGATTCTTTGGGAATTTCACACCATACACCCCAATCCCACTCCTTTCCCAGTCTTTCCATGTCTGCCTTCCACACTTATAAACACCCCCCCCCCCCAAACAAAACAAAACCACCTCGCAGACCCCTCTGGGCAACGACCTGATCTTTCATCACCCGAGGCGTTCTCTTACATGTCATGGCTGTCTTTCTCCAGTTCCACTGTGCAGGTATCATTCCGCCTCTCCCTCTCTGTCACACATCCTTTTGTTGTAGTATCATTGGAAGCTGCAGTCTGTCACACACACAGTACACCCTTTTGCCCACACAGCTTTCCCTGCAAATGTTCATTGCCATGAGTTATTGGACTGGTTCCAGGCCTCTGGCTTCTGCTACACTATCAATACTGGACCTTCACCATGATTCCTCTCAGATATCCTGTTCTTGCCCAGAGTCATGGCGATCCTGCTGCTTTGGTTCCAAAGGACCAGTCCCTTCACACGCTCCAGCAGGTCATAGATGGAGTAGATGTTGGGGTGGGCCAGTTCACACAGTCACCGCCAGCTCTGCAGTGCGGTGGCTGATGAGGGGCCAGGTCAGCTCAGCACAGCCCTCAGACGTCAACATAGCCTCAGGCAGCAGCCCAGACCATGGACATCCACGTGGCTCTTGGTGGCAACACAGGCCATGAACATCAACACAGACCCCACCTGCACTAAGGCCACAGACCCAGACAAGGTGGCATCATGGGCTGGGATTTCACGTGGCCTCAGGAGGCAGTGCAGGCTACTCACATTCACCTGCTCTTCACCACGGTCAAATCTCCAGTTCCGCCTCTCTCCACGACACATGAACCACTCCATCTTCTCTCCCATCTCTTCACCACATACTTGCTCATAGTGATGGCTCCTGCTCACCCTTGCCGCCAGGTCTCCC